AGAGACTCCTTGAATAATGATAACAAATAAGCTATGTTACCTATGCAGCTGCACATGCAAAATAAGAAAAGGAGTTTGAGCATTCTTGTGAGCAGCGTCTGACTAGCAGATACCCTGTGGTGTGCATGCAGAACAGTTGTTGTCGAATAATATGGATAATATAAAGTAACATAGATGATTAGAAAATTTTAGGCAGTGAATTTCTTCTTTCGTTCTCTAAATTTTGTGTACATTTTAGGAGGGTATTTTTCAAAAATATATTGTCATCAGAAAGCATTTAGTTTTAAAGCGGACATTTTTCAAAAAATGCTGCTCAGAACATGCAAATATTAATATTGCTGTATGTATATACTAAACCTTTTTATATCAGACTCCAGCCTTAAAAACATTTATAATGGCCTCTGATATAGCTTTAATCCTATAGCTTTAAAATATGTCAAGTTCAAAATAGAAATATATCTGAAATATGAAAATTGAAAAAGAGAAGCATACAAATATATAGACAGACAGATAGAAATAAAAGTCAGATAGGCAGGCATTTATACTGACTCACAGCGCAATAAATCCACTTAATCAAAAGTATTCATACATCATGCCGTTCGCCATACCTAACCAATATACCCTAACATACGCTTGACAACTACCTGGATGTACCAAAATGCTACAACAATAGGCACACATTGCACAGCAGCAGCCCCTAATAAAAAATGGAGAAATGTAAAAATGAAAAAAATTGCCATAAACTTTGACTTCCTGCAGGCAACAGCTGAAGAGCTGAAATCCAACTCCGGCACCCGCAGGGGCATTCTAAATGCAAAGGCATCGACAGCACCGAAGGGTGTTAAGTGCGAATTATTTCCTTCTCTTTTTTTTTTTACATACTTTCTGTTCCCTTGTTTTATTGTGTTTTCTTTGAGGGGTTGGAAGCGATACAACGTGTCGTATACGTGATAGCGTGCGTATACGTGACGGCAGCAGCAAGCGGAAATTGAATTGTAAGCAGTCAGAGGCAGCTGGGGGCAGTGAGGGCAATCAGATCAGCTAGGAGCAAAAAAAAATAAGAGAAAACGCATTGACTTGGTCTGAGCAAAGGCTTGTGCACGGGTTTTAAGAGCTCAAGCTAATTGCAGGCATCAAAGTCTGCTTAAATGCGACGCACTCGACCCTTCGAGAGAAATGATTTAAGTTTACTTTTCAGAAACTAATTGTTGTCTCAATTTCTCTTTCCTTGCAGAAAATGATGCACTTGAAATCCCAGCTCAGTTACGGCTGCGCCTTGGCGCTTTTCAGCCTCTTCTTCAATCTCTTCGTGCTGTCCAGCGCCGAGCTAGCCACGGCTCAAGGTAAGCCCAATCTCTTTGAGCAGCCCTCGCAGCTAACCCACATTCTCTGTCATCTTGCAGGCGCTCCCATCAGCAATCTCTATGACAATTTGTTGCAGCGCGAGTACGCCGGACCCGTAGTCTTTCCCAATCATCAGGTGGAACGCAAGGCACAGCGTTCGCCCTCGTTGCGCCTGCGCTTCGGTCGCAGCGATCCGGACATGCTGAACAACATTGTGGAGAAACGTTGGTTCGGCGACGTCAACCAGAAGCCCATACGATCGCCATCGATGCGCTTGCGCTTCGGGCGGCGCAGCGATCCCAATTTGCCGCAGATGCGACGCACAGCCTACGACGAGCTGCTCGAGCGCGAGCTGACCCTCAACAATCAGCAGCAGCTGCTGAATCAGCCAGCCGCTGGCTACGATGCCGATCTCTCAGAGGACAACGATGCGGGATTCGAGCGTGCTGTGCGCAAGCCCCAACGCTTGCGCTGGGGACGCAGTATAATCACCAGCATTCTGAATCTGAGCAATAATCGTATGAGTGAGGCGGAGGTAGGATGGGGATGTTAAAGAGGGTTTCAGCTGTGCCTAAAAATAATTTGGCGTGCTCTTAATTAATGTATGAGAATCGCAAAGAGAGGCGATATTTAGAAACATGAGAGAACCTGAGAGCAAGTTGAAATTGAGATTATGGAAATAGTCCAGAAAGACAAGTGAATTGTTAGCATTAGTCCTCCGACTGCTAGAATTTATTTTTATTATTTATCTTCGGTTTTTATAAATCAATAATGGTTCTATTGAGATACTAAATTTGAATGACAGATTCAACACTGAATAAACGCAAATTTTTTATTTGAAATTAAGCCCCCGTTTCTATCTCAATCCCCATCTTCATCTTCAGCGTTTGCAAGCTAAAATAGAACAACAGTTGCGGCAAGCGCCAGAATTGGCCCGCATGCTGCAGGCCCTGGTGCAGGAATACGAGAACCCAGCCGGCGGACGTGCCCTTGAGTCGAGCGAAGATCAGGACGAAGAGCAGGACGAGGACAATGCGGAGTATCAATTTCAGCGCGAGTCTCGCAAGCCCATGCGTTTGCGCTGGGGTCGCAGCACCGGCAAGGCGCCCGCCGAGCAGAAGGTGAGCAAAGCCCAGCTGCAACTTGGATTTTCATAATGATATCTCCGTTTCTTAACTTAACTCTAGCAAATGCCTGCTGCTGTTGAGACAGCGTCCGTGGCGCCCAAGTTACAGAACTAAGTGAATAAACAAAGGGAAATGAACAAAGGACACTCTAAGCGACAACTAGGCGGAAATGTAACAACACACACACACACACACACACACACACCCACACATCAACACAAATGCAAATGGCAAACGATTCGAAACACTCGGCTCAAAGACAGTTTTTGCAGGCATTTACGGTAGGCGCAGGGAGCTAAAAACACGTTCTAAAGAATACAAACATATAAACCACATATAATACATATATATGTATACCTTCATATACATATGATATATGAATGCATATACATATATATATACATAACCGATTATGTACGTGTGTACATTCTAATTTTGTGCACCTATT